GCCCTCTGGGCGATGACAGAAGTTGTCCTCACAGACTCCTCTGCCTGATCGGGCACCGAGGCTCCCTACAGGGCACCGTGCCCGCCTGCTCTGACCGCGGCCCTGACACTGCGCTCTGCCAGGGCCGGCGTGGACTCACTGCTTATGGCGATAAAGACCAATTGGCTATTTTAATTCTTCTCAGTCCTGTTAATATTATACAGAACAGCAGCATTTGGCTAACATTATAAACTAGGTAGTTGTTTATAACAAGTAATGAAAAATTATGAAACAGAAGAGAAGTATTTGTTGTGCTTGTGAGTGTTTTCATTTCAGCTTGGGAAACCCTAGGATGGCCTTTCCGTGTGCGAGTGACGGGAGGAGGACGTGTGTAACAGGTTGTGTGTCTGTTGACACTGAACCGGCGCACTACGTGGCTGACCCACGGAAACCCCCTCTCCTGATGTGCTAGGTCACCGAGTCCCGCTCCCACGGCCATTAGGATTGAGCTTCTTTTCCCCACACCCCGTGAGAGAGGAGTCAGCAACCACGGAGCGGCCTGCAGGGAACACCTGGATCCGTGCTCGTGACTACGTTACGCTCCACGTCCTCTTATCCCCGTCGTCTCGCGGCCTGGGGCTGTGAAGGTCCCAGGAAGAGAAGCTGTGCTCGCCCTGTCCTCCCACCTCCGCTCCGCTCGTGCTGAGGTGAAGACGAACCCACACTCGCCTGTGACGCCCCAGAATCCAGGCGTGGAGCTTCCCCCTCGGGAGGCACCGTTGTTTTCTAGCCTCGAGCACTTAGTCTTAGGGTGAACGAGGATATTGTGGCCAACGAGTAAAGAGGTAGAAGATTGCTTCTTCGGTTTCTTTCTCATTTTAAAGAAAAAAAAAAATCAAATGTCCATGTAGGTTAATGGAATTCCTCAATGATTCACTCACATCATCAAACCACATAGTTCCTCATTTCAGTCTCTAGCAAAATGTGTAATTCCCCATCATAGTTCTTCCTGGACAGTGAGGTCCTGAAAGGAGTAATCCTCCCACTGTCTAAACACTGAATGAGCTTGATGTGCAGACAGCCCTTCAAGCTGAGTGGACATGAACTTGGGAGCACGGAAACAGAGTGGCCTGCAGGGGGCGCTGGCCCACATACAGCGCCTCCCACACCTACTCAATCCATCTGCATGTCCTGCCTTTGTGGGGAAGCCACGCCCCTGTTTGAACTGGTCTTGTTCCTCAGCCTGACGCAGGATGCGTATAGGACCGTGCGTGGCCCTGCAGCACGCCACCACGCTCCCAGCCCCACCATAAACGTGGACCCGAAAGGCATCCCATGCCTCATGCTACATGGAAGACACGTATGAAGTCAAGGCAGCCAAACTACCCATTTCCAAATAAGACGGTATCCCTACTCTCATCACACACCACCTGGCAATGGGTGTCACTAGCAAACGAAGGAGAAATTCTTACTAGTATAAAATTCCTGCTTTGTATAAAGCCACACTGGCCATTAAAGTATTTTGAAGTTTGTTTTCCCACCTCTTATTTTATATTTGTACTAAAACGATGAATTTAGACTTGGAAGTATATTAAAGGAAAACGAAGTCATTTCTACCTGCAGGGCATTTCCCGAGGGCAAGAGCCAATGTCCATCCACACACCGGACCCTCCTCTGCCCGCCTCTCTGCACCACAGCAGCTCCGCCTCCTGGGCTGAGAGAGAGAACTGGCCCTCCCTGGGGAGCCATCCTCACTTCCTTCCTTTAAGGTCAGTTTGCAGGTCAAAGGTCAAAGGGCAAAGACATAGACCAGGACTCTTCAAGAGAAATGTTTACATCAGACAATGTTTACGTTGTTGTGAACAACAGTCAACAGGTTAGCAATCAAGTCCAAGGCACGCTGTCCATTGTCACAAAGCTCACACCTGGAGGCTGGCTTTCGGGACGTCCCTCTGACCTTCTCTAATGCAGCCCCGCCCGGGGCGCCATGCCCCCTGAGAAGTGGGCTCTGAGGATCAGCAAGAGGCCTGCCAGGGCCGACCTCCCCAGCAACAGCTGCTGACAGCACCTGCTCCGCAGCTCGAGGGAGTGGCGCCACTGTGGCTAGGACACATGGCACTCAACAGTGAGAGGCTTTGGGGGTCCTGGCTTTGTTGGTGACCACCGCTGGCAGGACATCCTCATCCCCAAGTCGGCATGGCAACGCCCTCCCGGTGCCCCACGCCCTGCGTTCCCCTGCAAACCCCAGGCAGCGGATTTTAAAACAGAAACCCCCCATGTCTGACCAAAGGGAGAAAAGACTTGGGCTGTTAGCATCAGCTGTTCAAATAAAGCTTCACTCTTACAAGATACATAATAAAATACCTTTTTATTTGCCAGGAAACCTTTTGGCCAGTCACATGGTCTGCGTCTGCCATGAATGCATGTCCGTGGTACTGTAAGTCACTTAAAAATTACATGGGGTTTGGAACACCTGCTTTGAACAGCTGACCTTCCAGAACCTGCTGCCACCAGAGCCTTGTTGTTCAGATTCATCAATGAGCAAGAAAGCAGCCCCCGAGGGGAGCTGACCTGGCGGTTCTCAAAGGCTCGTGCTCCACGCGGACCTGGCCTAATGCACAGCTGCCCCTTCCACCGCCTTAGGGGCACACTGCTTCTCACTTGATAGAGTGAACTTCCTGACAGGCCCAGGGGAGGCCCTGGGCAATGGCCTAAAACAGCTTGGGGGGTCCCACAAGGACGAAGGCGAGGTGGCAGGGAGGGTCTGGGACACTCCCCACAATCCGAACCCTGTCTGAGTGGAGCTCTGAGCACAAGGGGACGGGCGAGGGCCTGCGAGATGGGGTGGGAGGGAAGGGGTGTCGTTAAGGCTGTTACTATATTGCGGAGATTCTGGCCTCTGGGCTGGAAATGGCCGTCCGGCCCTCTTGGCCGCTGCCCAGACAGGCTGGCGCGGGCACCCGGGGTCGGAGCGCTCTTCTTTGGAGACAAAGCTGGTCTGGGTCTCATGCTCTCCTGGAAGTTCAGTTCAACCTCTTACAAATTTCTTGGTTGCAAAGCAAAAATGCGTGGGTTTTCCGGTTTGCTTTTCTCCCCCCAGGAACGGGCTCAGACTTCAGAAGGGCATCCTGTTCGCACGTGTAGGAAGAATCTCCCCCGGCTTCCATCCTGAAGATGTGCCGGTGCCGAGCGTGCAGAGGAAAGGCCTAGAAGGAAGGACAAAGAAAGACAAAGACGCGGGCACAGGGACCTGCGTCAGGGGACCGTCCCCGAGACCGAATTCCACCCGCGCAGGACCAGCAGCCTGTGGTGCAAGGTCAGCCCCGGCCAGGCCGCACCGCCCGCTCTGAGCGAGGAGCCAGCATCACAGCCCGTGTCTGGAATCTGCAGTGACCGCGCAGGGACGCGCTGGCCGTCACACCCACTCCTGCATGGAGCGCTTGCAGTACAGTATGTGGCGCGGCGTCCCTTTGCGCTTGAACTGGAGCACGGTGTAGGCCAGCGCCAGCAGGCACAGCGCCAAGATGCAGGGGATGACGATGGCCACGGCCCGCACCGTGCCCGCCGTGTTGTCCAGCTTGATGACAATGTCCACGTCGTCGGGCGGGCTGTGTCCTTCTGTGTGTCTGTCTGTGGGTCTGTCACAGCCCATAAAGTCCTTCAGGATGGATCTGGGGTATCCGGGCTCCACCTTGAGTATCTGGTTGTTGAATTTCCAATACTCCTTTCCTTTGTAGAAATATGTGAAGCCTGGTGGGAGGAAACAGCACACAGAGGAAACACTTATTTGTGAAAGTGGATGAGTGTAGACGGTCAAACAGACTACGTAAGCCCTGGCCGGGTGGCTCCATTGTTAGAGCGTCGTCCCCATATGCCAAGGTTATGGGTTTGATCCCCAATCAGGGCACATACAAGAATCAACCACTGAATGCATAAATGGAACAACAAATCGATGTGCCCAGGACCGTGTGCCCAGGACTATGCGCTCGGTGCGGGAGGCCCAGCCTGGGAGCAGGGCTCGCTGCTAAGGGTGTAGAGAGACAGGCCAAGCACCTCTACCCCATCCACACGTCTGCCCTGGAGGGAGACTCCATCCAGGGCTGGCTCACAGGACCGAAGGCATAGGAGACACACCCGTGTGACCATATCCGTCTGCACGGAAGAGGCTGCCACGCCTGCTAGAACGCAGCTCTGTTTGCTGCAGGTTGTGGCTCCTCCAGGAAACCCCTCAGGGGGCTTCTCACCATCTGAGCCTCCCAGACAATAGGCTGCCTTTCCTCATCTGAACCAGAAATATGAACAGATCATCCATCTCCAGGCTGAGGGGGTTCTTGTCTGCCAGGGGTTCTAATAAGCAAACAGGCATCGCTAGTGCCTTGTGCACGGACTTCATTTTTGGCTCTAGGTCCCTCATTGAGCCTCCTGTTTCTGCCCTCACTTTCTTACCCACTTAGCCTCTGTTAAATTCATGTCACTTACCTGTACTTTACAGAACTTCAAAGCCATTATTAATCCCTTTAGATCTACAATTCTATCTTTAATAGTTAACATATATTTCACGGGGAGAAGGGGTCTGAGGAGGCCCCGGGGTCTGGCAGTGCATGTGACCTATGTTCCAGACCATGAGGATGCAAAGCTCACCCTTCCCAGCTGATGACAATTCGACTACAGATACGTGTGTCTTCTGGAGGACTGGCTCTACGCTTTTGTTGGTTTCGTTGGCACACCTCCAGTTTTCCTTCCTGTCCATAACACCTTCAAATCAAGTTTCTTTGTGACCATCCTTCTTGGGTTTAATTCATGTTTTTATTTTTAAGAATCGTTTATTGATTTGTTTTAAAGAGAGAGGAAGGAAGAACAGAGAGACATCAATATGAGAGAGTAACATCCATCAGCTGCCTCCTGCTCGGTCCCCTACTGGGGATGAGCCTGAAACCTGGGCATAAGCCCGGATGGGGAATCCAACCAGCAACTTCTCCGTGTGGAGATGCCGCCCAACCAACTGAGCCACCCAGCCAGGGCTGCATTAATTCTTGCTTTGAGATAAAATTCAAGAGACCAAAGGAACGCTTTACTGTCATAATTACTTAAAAACGATACTTGGGGAGCTATGTGTTTTGAATAGTATGCCTACTTTAGACTGAACGCTCATTAATGGGTTTTCTTTTTCCTCTGTTAGTGAGCACTTACTATGGAAGAAGAAGTCCTGTGCTAAATAAAACTTGGAAAATGGCATCTTTTACCCCTTATAACTACTCGGTCAAGTAGAACTAATTACCTGTACTTTTCAGGCAAAGATATTGAGGCTCAGAGATAGTTCAGCCTCATATGTCCTGAACACGAAAGCTTTTTCTAAGACTGGGGCCCTTTGCAGAGCACCTGCCTCTGAACAAATACTCCTCGGCCACACAGCACAGGCTGTGACAGACCGCAGCCTGACAGACAAATGGACCAAACAACTCTGACATCTCTCAAAAATGCAGGCCCGGCAGGCCGCTGCTCCCGGGCCCTCCACTGGGGAAGCCGCTCTGCCAATGCCGATGCCAATGCCAGAGAGCGTGCCGTTGCTTTTCGTGGTGACGGGGAGTTCCTCAACCAAGACCACTTGCCAAGTGAAAGCAAGCTGTGTCGATTCAAATCTGTCTGCGGGAGCTGCTCTTTAATGACACTCATGACCCCAGTGCGACCACTCAGCAAGCGTGGATGCAGCAACGGGCGGGCCTGCTGAGTGCTGGACACAGGACGATGGTGGTTGAACAAGGGCCTTGATCTAGAATTCCACAGACCCTCCACATGGGCTTCTGAAAAACTGGAAGCAACAGCTTCTGGTTTCAGTTCAACCTAATTACTAGGAGCTACTGGGTATCCTATGGAAATTCAGAAGTTTCCATTTTCATGTTGATCCGATCTGCAGGCCAATTTCACATCACACACTCCAAACACAGAAGTCGAATTGTAGTTTACTGAATACATGTGTTAGAGATAAGAAGTCCAGTCGGTAGCAATTAGAGGGGGGAAAAATGTACTCGAGAAGCAGCCAAAGTCTTCATAATAGAAATTTGTTATACCTCAAAACTCATCTCAGTCAATAATTCAGGACTTTTTCCATTTATGCAATGTCAGTTGATTGAGAAAATGTTTATGTATTCATTTTTCCTTTTTAGGGTGGATTTGATGTAATCTGCTTACTTACTAAGAGTAGCTACTTCAGAAGAATTTTAACCTAAATTATCATGTTTTAGGAAATTCACATGTCAGAAGTGGGCTGCAATTGGCAAGATGAAATGCAGCACTGTTAAAAGTAGCATCTTGTATTAACCTTGACATTGCATTTTCGAGAGCCTTGGGCAGTGTGGTGCAGTGCGTTGGGGCTCCACTCCCTGTCAGGGAACACAGTCAGGCAGCGGGTTCCACCTCCGGCCAGGCCTTGTACAGAGGCAGCCATCGGTGCTGCTCTCACATTGAAGTTTCTCTCTCTCTCTTTTCTTTCCATTCTCTCTAAAATCAATAAAAACATGTTCTCGGGCGAGGAATAAAGAACAAAAACTGCATTGTCTAAGGAGAGAACCTGAAATAGCTAGGAAGTGGGGCTTTACAGCAGTTAACGAGGGAATGATTTAAAGGGGATAAATACAGAGTCTTTACTACACGTTTATATAAGCTAAGTCTCACAGGATGGGAAGTGGCCTAGCCAATCATCAACGCTGCTGCAGTAGCTATGCATGGTGCCAGGTGGGTACAGACTTACCCAGGGGTCACTTCATAAGCTATACCACTGAGTCAACTGTAATTACAAAAATAAAAAGTGGAGAAAAAACTCGGGCTATTGCTTAAACCCTGTGGAACGGCGAGTGCCGAGTCTTTCCACGCCCTCTGCGTGAGTCAAATGCCACTTGGATTTTTGCAGTTATTTTTGGGGCTGAGAGCGAAGAGGAAAATAAGAAAACTGTTACATTAAGATGGCTACAGGTGAAACAGACGGCGACGGCTCAGGAGGCACGTTCCTGACGGCCTGGCCTGTCCGTGCCCCACACCCGGCCACATCGGGAGGCTTGTGATGTCGGGAAAGAGGGTTAACGTTTCCTCTTCCCTGGAGACCGTGATCGAGCACCTTCCTGAGCTGGATGTTCCGGGTTAGTCTCACCGCTTTTGTTCTCGTGACAGGTCACTTCAACCAGCTGAGGTGCTCTCCTCACTATCTGCCACAAACGAGGGAAAGAGGTGTTTGTGTTGGACAGTTGATGAGAACATGAATCCATACAGCACAATCAATGTCTGGGAGGCAGGCACCCAGGAAGTGGCATCAAGCGGTCCTAGTTCATTGGTCAAGGTGGCAGAATTAATACCAGGATGTATTATAGGATGGCATAGTCCACTTTAATGCAAAAAACAGCCTTCAAAAATATATATCTGAATTTTAAGGACTTTAAACATAATTATCATTAGGAGGGAATTCCAAGGGAGAAAGGCCTGCGTGGGAGGGAGGGGGATAGACAGAAGTTTGGAACGGAATCATCTCTGATTTTACGGCTAACAAATGCCACCTGCATGGGCTTGCTCACAGGGAGGTACTATGGGTCTGAGTGTAAATGCAAACATGTTGACTGCAAAATCTGAGCTGCCTCTTTCATACAAACATAATGGAAGCAACAGAAGAGTCTGAGTTTAAGGTAAGAAGCCACGGCATGAGACTTGAGTAGAGAATGAAAACGGGGAGGTGGCTGTGGGGAGAAGAGACTGAGAGCGCCCCGATTCGGGATACTGCGCTTACAGAACCAGGTTCAGACTGCTCTCCCCACTCCCAGAGCGCAGCTCTGAGTGGCGGCAGGGAGGACACTGATTTCAGCAGCTCACATCTGGAATGGGCACTGGGGGACCGCCTGGCAGAGGTGATGGGCGTGGGCATTGACGGTTGTCACCTCAGATTGTGGGTATTCAAGGAGGGTTTCCCCAAAGATGTAAAGCGAGCTGCTGAGAGGTGCCATGGGGGCGGACCAGGGACGGTCCAGGAGACACAGATGCGCTGAGCTGGCACCTGCAGTTTTTGCTCATTTGTGAGCAGTGATTTCCCCAACATGCTTTGTGTCTCTGTCAGTATTTTACAAAGTTATTCTTTGCTGAATGAAAAGAAAACATTCATTTCTGAATACAAGGAAACAGTTTTCTCCTTATGAAGTTTAGTGTTAGGTGGCAGGTGATGCACATTTTTCCGGGTATTTTGGACCCACGGGGCATCATTTTCTTCTGTTTCCTGTGATAAGTATCTGATGGGTGTTTCTTTGTTATTTTGGAATGCTATTTTCTTCCCTCCCCTTGTTCTGGGATACTGTGCTTAGACTTTATTTTGAATTATTATTATTGCAGTTTAGTCTTGTTAGTATCCCTGGTGAGGGAGAAGTGTTCAGCGGGCCACGCACCATCAGGGAGCGTGGGCTGCCCACCGCCTGGCTGACTTCCCTCAGGATCCGGCTGAATCTCAAACCCTGAGAGGGTGCCCGGGCCCGGGGGCCACTCTGGCCCGCTGCTCATTGGTGATCAGTCAGGCCTGGCGTTCTGAGCGGATCCTCCTGTCTGCTGAGGATCTCCACTAACAACATGCGTGAAAATAACACCTTCAACGTGCCCTGGGCCTCCGCCACTTACACTGTATCGTCTCCGTGACCAGTTCCTGCCCAAGGTGTGTGATTATCTGCACATGGATTTTAATAGAAAAATCGGTGACGCTACTTCAAAGGTATCCACACCCCCCTTTTAAAAAGTTACGTTCCCTTTTCTTGTACAAACTAAAATAAATTAAGGTCAAAAAGACATCTGGAGCAGAATGTGAAACGTAACTCGAGGAAGGGACGGTCGTACACATGGTGACGCGATGCAGCCTGCAGGGCGCTGCCCAGTGACCGCGACAGCGGCGGCTAGAACACACATGCCCGGCGGGGCGTGCGGCCGTGCCTACCGTTCTCCTTGTGCACGAAGGCTCCCTGCGGAGAGTCGGGGATGCCCTTCCAGACGGTGATGGGCTTGGGGTAGCCGGGGTCCATGGTTTTCATTTCCTCACTGTACCTCCAATACCTACAGATGACGGAGAAACAACACACGCGTCAGGAGAAGGTGATGTGCGCAGCGGCAGCAGACACCACCCCTCGCTGCCTGCCGCTCGGACCTGCAATGATCTCAGAGCTGACTTAGCCTCTGGGAAGACAGCGGGACCAAAGCACGGATTCTGTTTCCTTCCCTGTGTCTGTGGACACTGGGTATGTTATTGTGCACATAGTCAGTCTGCTAAAGTTAATAAAAAATTACATTTACAATCCAAAGGGTAGCATCAACCTACGTATTTTTTAAAATCTTTCTCAGGCAGCAGAACACTTTTTTGGGAAATAATCTCAAGCAGAATCTTGCTCCATTTATTCCTTCTGCAACAGCTGAGTGTGTGCTGCATGCCTGGCGTATAGTAGGTGCTGGAGACACGCGTGGAGGGAGGGACAGCTGTTCTCCCCGCCTTACGTGTGAAGGGCGGGAGGGGCCAGCGCGATGCCGGCAGGTGCAAAGAGCGAGTAAGAAGCGACAGCAGACGGAGTTACCCAGGACCACGGGCCAGCCCTCCAGCGCTGGGACAGACCCCTCTGTTCTCAGCCTCGAAAGCTGATGTCTGGGGTGTTCTAAGGATCAGCAGTAAACTCGCCTATTTCAGGGCAGACAGAACGTTCTAGGCATGACGTGATGTGATCACAGCACACCCCTCAGGGGGATCCACTGCTCCTGTTCGAGAAGAGGGTGCTGGTAGGAGGATGACCAGCAGGCAGGTTACAGCCAGTCCTGTCTGGTTGTAAAGTCCTCCCTTTCCTCTACACGCAACGAATGTTCCCCAAATTCACCTGACAACCATTTCTAAATGCCGCTGATCATTGGCTAAAGCTAGTGTTTGACCAACAGGTTTGAAAAATCACACACTTTGTGCATGAACTTGGAACTAGCTGCTTTGGCTAAAACCATGAAAAAATTATTTTCTGGATACTTCCTGGGCCAGGATGGGGGGCGGGTCCTTGGTCCACGGGCTGGGCTCTGGGGGGAGGTTCTGCTGTAGATCCCTACCAGCCTCCCGCAGGTGAGGGGCACACGGCCCTGCACACGGCAGAGGGAAGTGGCTCCAGGAGGGGCCCCAGAACAGCCGCAGGCCGTGTGTTCTGCAGGAGACAGGTGTGTCCCAGGTTCTCATCACAAGAAAAAATGAGTGTGCTTTTCCGTTTGATGTTAGTGTAATCCCACAATCACAGAAACAAACCTATATTTTGACTTCTTTCTTTGAAAACATCTGAGTTTCTCCAAGGTTAAGCCTAGCGTGAAGTACGGCATAGAGCCTGGGACTCAGTGGTGAGGAGATGCTGAGAGGTGAGCTGGGACACTGCATCCTAGAGCTGAACGCGATGAGGATCAGTGTGGGTCCGAGGGTCCAACTGTAGCTCAAAACGGACCGGGCAAGCAGGGGCCCGTGGACGAGGCCCCGCTGCGCATGGGACAGAGGAGTGAGAGGCCTCCCTCTGAACTTGCAGAGCTGCTTAAAGAGCCTCCCTTTCAGCTCCTCCCTCTCTGTGGTTAGGAGCTGTCATGAGATCCCTGCTTGCAACACGATTACATGTCCAGGATCTCAAGCCTGTACCTCCACCCAGGTTTTATGCAGAAAGATGCCAATGGGAGGCAGAAATCAGTAAAGACAAATACATTCTCAATTTCTCAATGTTTTCCCTCAAAAATACATATAAAATATGTAAAATGTTAAAACAGATAAGTATTGTAAATATGCACCATAAGGAAGAAAGCTTTTGCTAAAAAGAACTTTTGAACCAAGGGAAGTAAAATGATAAGAAAACGCAAGGGGAGGGGAGGCCAGGTAGCTTGGCCTCCACAGCTTCCGGCCTGTTAGGCTACAGGGAAGAGAAACAAATACACGCCACATGTTTAAACTCATAAATGAGTCTCCTATTTGGTAGAGAAAGATTTATGTTGTTTGTTATTTTAAAATGTGTTAAAAACATTTCGATTCCAGATTCCCATAGCCGATCTCCTCACAACCAGCTCTTTCACCCACACATGCCTGCGGTAGGCGAGAGACCAGCCTCTCTAACCACTGAAGGGCCTTCCCCGGCGACTGCATACTGACCTGTTCCCCTTGAAGAAGTAGGTTTTCCCAACGTCCTCCCACCAGATGGCGGAGTCAATGCCGTGAGGGGGGATCCCGCTCCCGAGAGAGACCAGGTCGTGCGGGTAGCCCGGCTGCAGCGTCGTGTCCTTGAACACCCAGTACTTGTTACCTGTGGGAAGCAAGTGCAAGTGCACAGCACGCTGATTCAGTGTCAGAACTGGGAACGCGCCACGGACCCACAGGTGGCTTCGCGGCGCTCACGTGTGGAACCCGCACATTATTTCTGAACACCCATGTTATTTTTGAAGTGGATATGGTGAGTAACTATTTAAGAACCCAGTCAGCATGGTGGACTCAGTTAAGAAACAAAGACAGACCTACAACTGGCCCCATGCAACCGTCCTGAACCAAGGATCATGAATGCTCTGTCTAGAGCAGTGGTCGGCAAACTGTGGCTCGTGAGCCACATGCGGCTCTTTGGCCCCTTGAGTGTGGCTCTTCCTAAGCCTTAGGAGTACCCTAATTGAGTTAATAACAATGTACCTGCCTATATAGTTTAAGTTTAAAAAATTTGGCTCTCAAAAAAAATTTCAATCATTGTACTGTTGATATTTGGCTCTGTTGACTAATGAGTTTGCCGACCACTGGTCTAGGGACCCAAGGCCCTGCTCGGTCCAAGGCTGCATTGTCTGCATCCTGCCGCCCTCAGACGCTGAGCCCATTAAAGCTCTTCTCTGAGAAAACACTTCCTTGAGACCAACCCCTTCCCTTCATGATCAGCACCCGTAACCCCACAGTCTTACAACCCCATCCACATGTCTAGCTGTCCCCACCCCTCCATGTGAGGGGAGGAGAACATAACTGACCTTTGTTTAGAATCACAGAGCGGGCAAAGTGCTAGAGAGAAGGAACTGCAGTCCGTTTACTGCTGCTTTGGATTGATCTACAGACAACAGTCCGCAGGCCCTGCCCCCGGAGGCTGCCCACTCTCCCGCTGCGGCTCCCCTCCCGGGACCCACCGCTGCCTTCCCTGCACTCGGCTAACACCTGCTGCCTGAGCGCCAGCGCCTCCCAGGGAAGCCATTCCCCCCTCATTTAGTCTTTGTGTTGAGGTATAACTGACATGGAACTTTACATTAATGTCAGGGGTGCAATGTAATGATTGCACATTTGTATAAACCGGGAAATGACCCCACAATAAGCTAGTTACATTACAACTTTCTTTTTCTTGTGCTGAACACTCTTAACATCTGCTGTCGGAGCACCTTCCACGTGTGCTGCTAGCAGTGTCAGTGACTGCAGTCCCATGCTGCCCCACCCGGGACACACTGGCTTGTCATGGAAGTTGGGACTCCTTGACCCTCTTCACCCAGTGGCCTCACAAGCCTCCTCCACCCGGCAGCCACCAGCCTGCGCTCTGCATCTATTACTTTCGTTTGTTTTGTGTTGTAGACTGCACACATACGTGTAATAACACAGTGTTTGTTTTCCTCTCTCTGACTTATTTCATGTAGCATAACGCCCTCTAGGACATCAGTGTTGATGCAAATGGTAAGATTCATTCTTTTTCAGGGTTGAGTAGTGTTTATTTATCCATTTACCAGTCAGTGGACACTTGGTTTGCCTGTATGTACACCTTGCTGTCTACAATAATAAAAGCGTAATATGCTAAGTAGACCAGACGCCCTTCCTTCTGGACAAAGCCACAGTGGGCGGGGGCTGCGGCAGAGCCCTGGCGTGACTTTCGGGCATCGGGCCTCTGGTTGTAAATAACACCGCAGTGAACACTGGGGGTGCGTAGGTCTTTTCACATTAGCGTTTCACAGTCTTCAGATAAATACCCAGCAGTGAGCAGCGGGGTCTAAGGCAGTTCCGTTTTAATTTTCTGAGAAACCTCCGCATGTTTCCCATCACGGCTGCACCGTCTGCATCCCCACCCGGAGCACGAGGTCCCCTGTGGCGTGAGCATGAGAAATGCACACAGAAGCTCCATCGGCCTGCTGTCCGGGCATCGCAGGAGAGGCCCATGTGTGAGAAAGAAGGTGACAGTTCCGCCAGGAAATTCTTATTATTGTATAAGCCCTTTTTTTTTAATGTGTTTTGGAAATACTTCCTTGGACTGTGGGTGTTTTCCATCTGGACAGGGAGAAACAATCAGACTTCCACTACAGAAGACATCAATTCCCTTTTTTTTCCTGCTAGAAGCAAACCTGGGGGATCTTTAAAAAAATACACTTATATTCTCTTTTAAAAACAAAGCAAGACAGGAAATCACCAGCAAGCATTTGTCAGGTGGCAAGATGAGATCCCAGCAGTTAATTGTGCACAAAATTAGGAAAATCAACACCTTGCCTGCATATTTGTGGCACAGAACTCAAGAAATAACTCAATGATGATTACGAATTATAAATTTAACTCTCCAGTCTTTACTAAGGACACATAGGGAGACAGTTCCTTCCGCATCTTAATGAGGAAAGATTTTCACATCACAAATTGGAAGTGACTTCATTTCTGTTATTTAGATGCTGAGTATATGAGATTCATAGTCAACTATTTTCCTTTTTTAAACACAGGAGGTGGATGTGTACCACCTTGCCACTCAACAGTCTGGTTCTCTAGGAAAATATCGCCTCCTTGGCAGGCAGAGGCGTTGACTGAATTCATAGGCGCTGCCATTGCCAGGAGTAAGTGGAACAAGCTGCTCCTGGTGACACTGCTCTGGGCAGAAAGTAGAGGAAGATGCCAGGTCTGATTAAAGACAGAGAAGTTACAAATAATACAAACAGCCTTGCTTATCGTTTGGGGCTGGAGAGGACATTACAGATTATATACTCCAGTAATTCTTTAGTGAGATCCATCCACCCACCCACCCATCCATCCACCCACCATCTATCCACTCACCCACTCATCCACCATCCATCCACCCACCCACCATCTATCCACCCACCCACTCATCTATCCACCATTCATCCATCCATCAGTCCATCCATCATCCATCCACCCATCCATCCATCCACCCACCATCCATTCATCATTCATCCATCCACCCACCCACCCACTCATCCATCCACCTACCCATTCATCCATCCATCCACCCACCCACCCAGTCATCCATGCATCCATCATCCATCCATCCATCCACTCATCCATCTGGTATCTGTCCACTAAGAGCCTGGTATTGCCCATCACTGAGGGAGCTGTGGATACAATGATGGAAATACTCAAGGTGCTCAATACGGTGCAGTTGAAGGACTGGCAGAGAGGCCAGACACTAAACAAAGAATCCCACGAAGAATTTTTAAATTACATGCTTATTCCTGCATGGGAAAATGTCGAATGGAGTTTTAAAAAAGTTTATCAAGGGACAGGCCGTGAGAGCCGGCACAGGGTGAGGGACGCTGCCAGGCGCCAGCAAGGAAGCAGGCTGAGTACCCCTCCTCCTGCTCCTGCTGCTCAGGAGACAAAGAAGAGTTGGGGGTCCTCCCCATCACGAACACAGCATCCTGGACGCCAGGAGGGCAGAGTTACTGGGCACTCGCTGGGCCAAACAGGGGCCATGCAGGCACATGTCCCAGCTGATGCTCCACCTGATCCCCCGCAAGGAATGCCAACCACATTTCCAGTGGAGGAACCGAGGCACAGGGAGGAAGTAACTCAGCCACTTCACAGGGCCGGTCAGCGTGCGAAACCGCATCTGACTGCCGCCCCCGCGTCCTCACGGCCGAGGCCGCCCCCGTGTCCTCGAGGCCAGACCATCCCCCATTCCTTAAGGGGGAGTTGGCGAAGACAGAATGAATTGTAAGAACTCGTGCCTTTGCCTGGAAGTTCAGCCTCACTTGGTACCAGTGCCCCAAAGGCCACGTCTCGTTTCCCTCAGCCTCGCTACAAACGCTGATCCTGAGGTCACTCGCTATTAGCTGCTGTTGTTGTTAGGAGCCCCTTGTCTTTGCCTGTTTAAGCTCATTTCTGTCCTTTGGGTCCTGGGCGACACAGTCCGTCCCGTGGGTCTGGACCTGGCTCCTGGGGTTGGCTCAGCCGCGCTGCACACAGCCTGCGGGGGCTCAGCCCGGCTCTGCCCGGCCCACTGACCTGAGGTTATTGTTCTGAGCAGAGCAAGTGCTGGGGACGGCGGGCCAGTCCCCTGCGCTCACCCTGCGTGCCAGGCCCTGAGCAGCTCCACCAGCAACGCCTGCCACTCAGGCAAACAGCAAACAATGCATCTCACGGGACGGAGTGAATCCTTCATGAGCAATTTCCTAGTTTATTGTAAACTATTTAATATAAACTGATTAAATCAAGCAAAGTCTGAGACGTGAACTAGATTTCATTGCATAAAACAGCAAGCAACTTCAAAAATCTTTTAAAAAGAAACCCAAACCCCTTACTTCATGGAAAAATGGCTTTTTGTTAGATTGTTGGTTGTTTTTTCGTTGTTGTTGTTAATCCTCACTGGAGGATATTTCTTCCATTGATTTGAAAGTAGGATTTTTTTTTCCCTTTTAAATGTTTTTATTGATTTTAGAGAGAGAGGGAGAGATAGAAAATCGATGACAGAGACTTCTGTTGGCTGCCTCCTGCACACTCCCCCGAACCCTGGGGATTGAGCCCCAAAATTCGGGCACATGCCCTGACTGGGAATCAAATTGGGGACTTCTTGGTGCATGGGTCGATGCTCAACCACTGAGCCACACGGGCTGGGCAATTTTCCATTTATTTTAGAGGGAGTGGAAGGGAGAGGGGGAGAGAGAGAAGCACGGATGCTAGAGAGACACATCAGTTGGTTGCCTCCCACGTGTGGGATTGAACCTACAACCCAAGCACATGCCCTTGGCCAGAATCAAACCTGAGACACTTTTGTGTGCTGGCTGACGCTCTAACCACTGAACTACTGACCAGGGCAGGAAAAATGGCTTTTAAATCATTCATTCATTCATCCATTTTACTTTTTTTGGTGCTTTTAAGCAAAATCTAAAAAGTATACAAATTTGACTTGTACATGGGATACCACATGGAAAAACATAAATGAAAGAATTAAAATTTAACTTCACTGAATTTGTGTTTCTAGGCAGCACAAGTGGTCCCTTCCACCAGCAGGAGTGCCGGGTCACCTCCTGAGGGTGCAGCGGACAGGGCAGGGGCCGCCTCACCTTTGAAGAAGACGAAGTTGCCCTCATTGTTTTCGTACACCGCGTCGATCCCCGGGGGCAGGCCGCGCCAGAAGTAAGTGATCTGCATGGGGTACCCGTCCATGACCCTGTTGTTCCTCACCCGCCAGAACCACTGGTCCTGCAAGCCAAGCACAGGAGGCGTCAGCATCGCCCAGGCCGCGCCGAGGCCGCTGCCTCGCACACCCAGAGCAGCAGGACACCTGCCCCCACCCTCCCGGGGCTTCCAGCCGCCCTCCCAGCGCTGACCCACGGGGTTCCAAAGGTAACGGAGAAGTCTCATCCCGGCACTGAGGTTACACCCAGGGCCTCCCCGGGGGAGGGGGGAGGGGGTGCAGCCCAGGCCCTGCCAGGCAGAGGGAGCCAGCTTCTGAGCCGGAGGCAGGAGGGGTGGTGAGCACCACAGGGCGGGGATGGCGCCTGCCCCCACCTGCACCCAGCGCCCTGAGGTGTCGTGGAGTCCTCTGTCACCGTCCACTGTGTCCTGCTGGGGCGATGAACTACACGGCCGCGGAGAATGACCAAGTGGTCTTAAGGAAGTATGAGCGTGGACCCCAGTCTTGGGCACTGCCCACCTATTGCTCCCACAGGGCCCTGTGGAGGGGGCCATTTGGTGGTGGTTTCCTGGCTGTGCAAACACGTGTGAGTGTGATGTGCTCCCGTGGGTCTATTTCTTCTTTTGTTTCTCTTGCCCAAGGAGACACATCAGAAAAAAATATGGTTACGAGAAGTGTCTGAGAGTTTTATGGTTTTGAGTCTAACGTTTATGTCTCTAATGAACAATAAACTAACAAACAAAATAGAAACAGACTCATAGATACAGAGAACAGACTAACAGCTGTCAGAGGGGAGGGAGGCTGGGCAGCTGGATGAAAAGGGTAAAGGGATTAAGCAGAAAAGAGAAGCAAAAACTCATAGATGCAGACAACAGTGTGGTCATTACCTACCAGATGGAAAGGGGTTGGGGGAGGGGGAGAGGGTAAAGGGGGTGGTAGACACACAATGCAATATACAGAGGATGTATATCAAATTGTACACCTGAAACCTATGTAATCTTATTAACCAATGACACCCCAATAAATTCAACAAAAAAGAAAAAGACAGATTCTGTAACTGTGTGTGGTGATGGATGTTAAAAAAATAAAGCGGGTTCCCCGTTCAGTGACGGTCCTGAGCGGAGACTGCGGTGTCCTTAGCTCACCTACCAAGAATTCCCATCACTTGGTGTTTTTTTTAATATATTTTTATTGATTTCAGAGAGGAAGGGAGAGGAAGAGAGAGAAACAAGGGTGATGAGAGGGAATCATTGATTGGCTGCCTCCTGCATGCCCCCCACTGGGGACTGAGCCTGCAACCTGGGCATATGCCCTTGACCGGAATAGAATCCAGGACCCTTCAGTCTGCAGGCCAACTCCCTATCCACTGAGCGATACCGGCCAGGGCCCATCCCTTTGGTTTTGACCCCCCCAAAAATGTGACATTTACAATAAAAATTAAGTCCCTGCTGGATAAAGTGTAGGCTCTTTTGACTCGACGTACCCAGGGCAGTGTATCCAACTTAAATTTTTAAACATCGAATCCAATTAGTCACCTCGATCATTTTCTATACATTCATCATGTTTTATTTTCTTCATTGACCTGTTGTTCTCTGAATATTTGCTCATACTCCCTGCCTCCCAGAGGGCTGGAGCCCCCTGTGCCATTGGGACATACCCCTGGCAGCCCTGGCCAGCGCCGAGCCCCAGACAGAGAAAAACAGCCGGTGAGGGACCGGGAGCCACCACTCCATGGCCGGGTGCAGGGCTGGACCCACGGGAACCCTCCAGGCCGTCCGCCCCGAGCCTGCCCTCTGTGGGACACCACCCCTGTCACCGCCCTCTGCTCATCCTCCGCTCCCGGGAGCCTCCTCATTCTCTCTTCCTCCATGTCCTTAAACACTCAGCAAAGGCACCGGGGACATTTCCAGGAAGCCCTGCCCTCTGGGTGGCCTGCCGCTTGCCCCCACGGCGTGCAGTGTGTCCCGGGCCAAGGGGCCATGACCGGGTCCTGCTGTGGCCGGTGGACAGGAGTCTCATGTGGCGCAGGTGGAGGCCGAGGTTCAGTGGTGCCGTGGAGTACTGCTTTCAGCTTCCTCTCTGGTCATCTTTTCCCCAGACCTGCCCACAGGGCTGAGGACACTGGGGGCCGAAAGCCTGGGGCAGTGAGCAGTGACCCACACGGAGAGAAACCGAGTCAGAGCCCTCTGCCTGCAGCTCGGAGCGGCGAGGCGGGAGCAGAGGCGGCCACGAGGGATGGGCCCAGGGAGACACAGTGAGCGGGCAACAAAGGAGGCCAGGGCCGGGAATGAGAGGCTGCCTGAGAGACAGGGTGGGCTGGCAGAGCAGCCCCTGCAATTACTCAGCAAGGAGCTGGGGGTCCTGAGGGCAGGGCTCGGGTTCAGGAGGCTGTTGCCACAACAGGGCGTTACCAGGGCCTCGCTGCCTCCTCTGCTGTGCTCTGGGCAGTCCTCTGCTCCCTGCGTGGCTGGGACGTATGTGCTGAAGTGGGGAGCTCAGCAGGTGAGTGCCTTCCTTACGCTCAAAGAACACCCTCAACAAACAACGCCATTGTCACACGACAGTGACGGCTCTAACCCAGTGTGTGTGTTTGTGTGTGTGTGTGCGCGCATGCATGCGTGTGTGCATGTGTGTGTATGTGTGTGCATGTGTGTACATGTGTGTGCGTGCGTGCTGGGGACCTCCGTGGCCACCTGCGCTGTCCTGGGTGATGCTGCGACACTCCCGTCCACACTGATTGGTTTCATGGCTCCTGTGCTGCTAATCAAATAATTCCTAAATGCAGCCAGGGTCCAAGGCACGGGAGAACGTCCACTGAGATGGGCTTTGGGTATTTATGCTTCCTGCGCCCATCTTTAGCAGAAACACTGCAACTATTTTTAAGTTTTGAAACAAATGTTCAACTACAGTTGACGTTCACTTAGTTGCAGGTGCACAGCATGGCGGTGAGGCATTTATATGCCTTACGGAGCGACCCCTGGCGAGTCCAGCACACAACCATCGATGTCACACAACTGCATCATCAACATGCTGACTGTTCCCCACGCTGCGTGTTGGTCCCCTGGCTGTTCTGTAACTCTCGGTCTGTACTTCTCGCCTCCCTCTTTCACCCAGTCCTCCAGCCCCACTCATCACACTGACGGGGGCGTGGGGTGTGGCTGCCGCCCTGCAGGTGGGGTCCGCTGAACCCCGGGAGGGAGCACAGGCCGAGGCCCAGACCACCCCTTCGGGAGGCCTGCCGCGTGCTTCGCTGCGTGCCTTTCCTGCCTCTGCGCTGCTGGTTAAACCACAGGGACATCCTGTCTTCCCAGGGACCCTCCCTCCCCCCCAGACTGGAGCAGCCCCGCGCCTGTCTCGCCCCGCGCCTGCCTCACTCCCGCTGCCCTCGGCAATGGCACATGAGGCACATTCATTGGATTGTGACATTGTGACGGCCCCTCCCGCACGACGCCCTGCGATGCCCCAGACCCTCGGAGGTGAGCGGGGCAGGCCCGCGTGAATATTTATTGAACGGATAAACAATCAGGTGTTGGGCGGGAAATGGCCACTGAAGGCATCGCGGTGGAAATCAGCTTTTGTAAAAGGTAAGGGCACTTGTCCCAATAAAACATTTGCTTTTCTCTCCCAATTTGGTCTTTGTCATTTTTCGTCTCCAACTTTATTTCTGACGTTAGTCACCCAAAGTGACACGCTGTACACACAGCTGGCCTTCGGGAGAGGCACCGAGAGCCAGCTGCACGAGGCCAGGTCGGCCGTCTGGGCGGGGCCCTCGAGAGACGGTGGCATCTCTTGGGGACACTGGGGACCAGTTCAGTCTCCTGGGCAATGACCAGCGCCTGTGAGCTCAGGTCCTAACGCCCGAGGAGACCCGTGCAGGTGAAGTGTGGGGAGGGGGTGCACCTGCTGCACTGTCCCGCGAGGGGCACACAGGCGGCTCCTACAGGGCATGTCAGCCTGAGCGGGAACCGCGGGGCCCGAAACGCGGGGACCGCGCCAAGGCCCACCGAGCGCCCAGCTGTCGAGTCTCCGGGCTCCCAGAGACCGTCCCGTGAAGACGGCAACTGCTTCCGAGGCGCCTTCTTACGCGGCTCCTGCCAGACATGACCTCAGGCATGAATACGTCCTATTCCCTGTGGTAACACTGCCACTCAGAAAACTGACAGTGTTACCGCAGCGGCGGCATCAGCCGGTCTTTGTGACCGTAGTTTGGGAACTGAGTCCTTTCCAGCCTGAACTACGCAGCCAGGCCCTGAGCCCGGGCCCAGGCCCCGCGGCTCGGCCACCTTGCCGGGACCACAGCGCCCGTCCCTCCCCGCCCCCCCCCCCCCCCCCCCGCCTTTCCCAGCCTCCTGAGCACACAGCGATTATGACCTACAGGCTTGTTTCCTTTTATAGCCACATTTTTGTTATTCTTTGCATTTTATTACAAATGAAATTTTCCTGTTTTAATATTGATTGTTTTTTCTTAGAAAGACTGAAATAAAGGATATACCCATAATGAAATAAGGGATATACCCATAGGGATATACCCATAATGAAATAAGGGATATACCCAGATAAAGGATATACCCATATACCCATAAAGTCTAACTTATGGAATGGTTCATGATATTCAATCTCTAGATACTTATTCAGAATTCTAATCCTATAATTTATTTTTGATCTTCTATTTGATCTTTTGTTTATTGGATCATAGGGGGTGAGGTTGATATGCACAATAAAAATATCTTAACCAGTCACATGAAAAATTTCAGGATTCAGCATAAAGGTTTCTCTGTCCTAAGGGACTTCAGAATTCTGACTGGGGAGGTGATGGCTGAGGGGACCCAGGAGCCAGCTCTGACATCAGCTGCTGTAAGCTTCAGTTCCAGGGTTTAAACGGTCTTTGCTTCACGTTCTGACCATGAACACCTGTGGCTCACTAGCTTGTAGTGTAGCCAGGAAACACACACATACTGTTCCAGGCAGGTGTGGCCCAGCACACACTGTTCCAGGCAGGGTGTGGCCCAGCACACACTGTTCCAGGCGGGGTGTGGCCCAGCACACACTGTTCCAGGCAGGGTGT